CCGGGCAGAGGGCGGGAGCAGGGAAGCGGCGCGGGGGGGAGGGGTGGGTGGGGCGCGGAGGGTTTGCTGCCGCTCTGCGCGTGCGCACCGGGGGACGGCGCGCGCGCGGGGGGGGGTGGGGGCAAAGGGCGCCTGCGCGGGAGGGAGCTCGCTCGGCGGCGCGCGCCGGACTCCCTCGAGCCTCGACCTACTTCCCGCCGCGCCGGGCCTCGCAAGCTAAGCAGGGCCCGCCGGGGCTGCGGCGCGGATGGGTGACCGGGCTGCTCGATCCCTGCCGCAGGATGGAAAAGGGTCGCGGGTGGAGCGCCCCTACGGCGGCTCCCTCGCTCCTAGCGCGGCCTGGCTGCATTTGCAGGTGTTTCCACACCTGGAAGGGGCTGTGGGGATGCTGAAGGATGAGCTCTGAAGCTGAGATTATCTCAGTGAATCACAGAAGGGGCCTGAGGTCAGCCGGCATCCCTCCAAGGGAGAAGCTCCATGCCCTCAGTATAAGAAGGACATGGACCTGATGGAGCGGGTCCAGAGGAGGGCCACAAGGATGATCAGGGGGATGGAGCACCTCTGCTGTGAGGACAGGCTGAGGGAGCTGGGGTTGTTCAGCCTGGAGAAGAGGAGGCTCCAGGGAGACCTAATAGCGGCCTTCCAGTACCTGAAGGGGCTACAGGAAGGCTGGGGAGAGCCTGTTTACAAAGGCCTGTAGTGACAGGACGAGGGGAAATGGCTTCAAGCTGGAGGGGAGCAGATTTAGACTGGAGATGAGGAGAGGGTTCTTCACTGTGAGGGTGGTGGAGCACTGGGACAGGTTGCCCAGGGAGGTGGTTGAGGCCCCTTGCCTGGAGATATTCAAGGAGGGGCTCGACGAGGCCCTGGGCAACCTGGTCTAGTTGGGGGTGTCCCTGCTGCCTGTGGGGGGGTCAGACTAGATGACATTTGGATGTCCCTTCCGCCCTGGACAACTCTATGACTCTATGACATGTGAGGCTGGGAGCAACAGGGCCCCAGAGCATAAGCCAGAGCACAAGCCAGAGCACAGGGCTGAAGGGAAGACCTCCCATGAGACTAGTGAGATGATCCTTCCAGCCCACCCAGCACAGAGGATGCCATGGCAGGTACCAGCCAGCAAGAAACCAGGGAGCAAGAAGGTGCTGGAAAGCCCAGCCTGTGAGGGAGGGGGCTGAGAATGGCTGCAGACATCTCAGCAGCCACATTATGTCAGCCAAAACTGAACAAAATTAATGAAAACTGCTTAAAAGCACATCCCCAGCTGATTTGGACACTGTTCACCCGTAACCCGGCTCAACTCAGCTCTCCCAAACCCCTTCCTTGTCTTTTCTGAAGTCTGATTCCTGCTCTTCAACCTTGTTTCTCCTGATGATGTTTTGGCACGATGAGAAACCCAAGGCAGCTGCGTTTCTGGCTGGATCTATAGCGGTGCTCAGGAAGCTGCACCGGAGACCCCGGCCAAGGAGCATCTCTCGTTACCATCACATCCAATTTAAAGCTTTCAAAGAGCAAAAATAGCAATTGTACTGCTGCCCCTAAATAGCAACTGGCTACATTTATTAATAGGCATCAAGACTTTACAGAAGTGTTAGAGAGGAGAAATGCTCAGAATTTGGGTGGAAAACACAGCGCTCGTACCACTGTGTGTGGAACCGGAGAGCTGGCTGCTGGATCAGAAGAGACCCTGAAACAGGCTCACTCTCACAGCTTTGCCCATCCCAAAATAATCCTGCAGTGACGATTCTCCCGGTGTTGGGATCTCAGCCTTTGGACAAGACGGTCGTGTTTTTAGGCAGTACTCAGGATGCTGGGGTGAATCACCGCCCCAGGCTGCATCAGCTGCCTCATCCAGTTGCTCAGCTCTTTTCCCACGTGGATACTATTCATTTTCCATCCGAAAGCTGGGAAACGGCTTGAAACAACACAAAACTGCCCTTTTTCCAAGGACCCATCAGCTCCAACCTCCGTTCTCAGCATAGAACCAACAATTTTGCTGTTCCCTGCCTTTAAATGCCACATCCTAACAAGGGACACCTGGTCCCAAGCCCTGCCTCACACAGCAGCATCTCCTAAGAAGCTGATGACACCCCTGGAGGGTCTGATCCAAGTCCTCCCTGCCCTCAGCCCCTTCCCCAAGGGCCTGACCCGGGGTGGAACTAAGCAGAGATTATTTTTTGACTCTCTCAGGTTCAGCCACCCCCATGCCCCATAGCCACTGGCAGTGATCCTGGACTAATATATTCCCATTTGGTATGAAAAGGCTACGGTGGCGTTTGAGGGCTGAGTGAGCCCCACAGCACCCTTTTTCCCCTTGTCATCTCCAACCCTGGGAACCCATCCATGGCTTACAGCATCCCTGTGCTGAGAGAGGGCACGTTGAGCCTGGGGATGGCATCACCCAAAATAGCAACCAGCCCAGCAGAGCTCACAGGGGGTAGGATATACAGGGGATAGGACATACTGGGGACGGTGGGTTAGAGGGGAAAAAAGCCCTCAGGCCCATTCATTCTGCTGTACACAGACCTGGGTGATTGCCAATAGGTCAAAAAGGTCCCTGGGGAGTCATAGGCTTTGGAAAGAGCAGACTTACAGCTTTTCCAGTTCCATGATGGCAATTCCCCCTGTAGCCAGAGCCTGTTATTTTAAGATGCTTGGGTCAGGCAGCTCTTCGCATTGAGCTTTCAGTTCCTGGACCACAGACTATGTAACGCTAGAGATGTCACTCTCCCACATCAGGTCCCTTATTCTGTTGTTCTGGTTTCTTACCTGCTGCTTTTTCCCTTTTTATTTTGCTTCAAGCTATTTTTTCCCAGGCTCGGGAAAGACACCACTTTTCCAAGGATCAGTGACTGCCCATCAGTTCATGTCCCTAAGAAAAACCCCTTTCCAGTCCATACCTACCTCTTCAAGGTGGTAGGTGACCATCTACCTCTTAGCTCAGCCTTCAATGATGCACCCTAACAAGGTCCACCTGGTCCCAAGCTCGGGTTCACCTGGCAGCATCTCATGACAAGCTGAAAACACACGTGAGACTTGCACTCCTGAGACCCAACATGTTTGGTGTAAGACCCTGTGAGCCTAAAGCCGCTTAGCAGGGGAAGGACTCTACTCACAGGGCCATCGATGGCCCAGCCAGGCTGTTTGGGGACCCTGGCCTGCTCAGCACGCACCCTGTCCCCCGTGCAATCTCCCAGAGCACCCATGCAGAGCACCCTGCGGCTGCAGCACCCCAAAAAAGGCTGTCAAGCCTCTGCAGAGACCCTCAGCCCCTATCCCCCCCCGAGAGCTGACAGATGCAAAGACATAACGGTGGTGTGCATAGCGACTGTGGTTAGATTTTATTGGTTTTTTTGTTTGTTTTTTTGTTTGTTTTTTTAACCCATATTATTGTTATAATACAAAATATACAGACTGGAGATGCCAAGCGGGTTGTGGGTCACCATGCC